CGGTACGCCTCTTATTAACAGTTTTGTGAATTGGATAGACCCTAAACTTGAATGGTTTCTCCCTTTTCAAAGTGTGGAATTAAAGAAGTTGGTCCTCAAGACATCATTTACACAAAATTCATCCTTATTTTTGAGTAAAACCAGGCAAAAAGTTAGAATTAGTTTGACTACAAGTAAGATCAGAGGAACATATCTTGATGGATTCTCAGCCACATACATTTAGTCCGGATTCTGTTTTGAAACCATTTTTAAAGGCAGCAGGTAGTGGTCATTATATGAACACAAACGTATAGGAATGGCTCATTTGACCCTATATAGGACAACAGCAGGGATAAGTAGACCAGAGCACTTATAGTCACTTTAGGCAAGTTATTATGATAGGTCTATAAACAGATCCCCCCCCCCCCCTCTGTACTGACTCTGTGGTGTTGATGACCTGTTTGTCCGCTGTGGCCCTGAGTCATAATACATTTGTTTTGTGACCAAATCTGGACCTGAGGAGATATTTCCTGGCAGCGCTGGTTCCTCGACTGTTTTGTTGGTGGAGGAGTGAGAGGTCGGACGAGGGGGAGGGAACAGAGGGAGAGAGATAGCGTTAGACTCTGTGTTTGCAGAAGGGTCAGCCAGAGTTTCCCCATCAGTGAAATGTTGCAGGATGACTAGCAGCGTTTGTACTTTCCAGCTCCTGCAGCACAGGGAGAGTGTGTCGTTAGCTTGTGGCTACAAAGCTAAATCACGCTTCATCTGTTAGAAAATGGTGGAGTGTTTTGTAAGGCAGCACGGTTTAGAAAATGACTAATTTGTGATTTATTTTGACTGATATTGCGATATGACTCATGATATTGGAGCGACTGATCATTTGTATCATCATCCTCAGCATCATTTAAGTACAAATAGGTTTTTTACGTCCGTAGAATGGTAATGATATCAATTAACCTTTTAACAAATACTGCGCTAACTGCGATTTGAATATTGCACTAGTTCGTATTGCAATTTTGTTAACATTTTCGATTATTTGCCCTGTTTGCACTCACGCTTTGGAAATGTTAGAATGACCAAGTAATGGATCGTGAGCAGAAGTGAACTGGAACAAATTGCGTCAAAGAAAAAGCTAGGATGGGGCGATATTTAATTCCTATAAAAAACGTTGGTAAGTTTTGACTTTTGAAAATGCTGTCTTGCTCTCTATCATGGTAAATACAATTATTAAAAAAAAAAAAAAAAAAAAAAAAAAAAAAAAAAAAAATAGAGCTTGAAATGATAATGCACGAAGAACAGACTTAACACAATGTTGATATGTTTTATTCATGAAGGGAAATCTTATGTTTTTTTTTGATTATCTTTATTTATACATTTTAGTTTTTGACTCAAAAAAGATATGCGCATATCTGTTATGCGATTCGTAAAATGATTCCAGTACACATTAGTACCATTTAAAGCACATGTTGATGACATTTGGGATAATATAGTAGGTGGCAGATATCATTGTGACATGACATTTTCATATTTCCCCATGCAATGAATCATCATTAACCAGTAGTTCCTGTTTAGTCTCCAACATGTTTTCCTCTCTACATTAAAAGAGATACAAAACAGAGACATTGTGATTATATTTTCAGGAACAAAAGCATTTGGCGTGTTTAAGCCCTCGTAACATCCACATTTCCCAGTGAGGATCTCCATTAGCTGCTGTGGAATAAAGCATGAGTGGAGCAAATATCGATCGGAACAACAGTTTCAACACGCTGTATTAATGTCCGAAAGAATAGGGCTCTTACATTAGGCCTAGAATTTCCTGTTGGAATCAATAGAGACACACACACACACACACACACACTCCGCTTCCAGATGGAGGCCTAAGTGCTAAAATAATAACCGTTTGATTGGGTTAACAGAGGCAGCTCTGTTTAGGCCTGCTGCTCTGCCTCACAGTCATATCAGCTTTTCTCCTCTCTCACCTCCAGGTTATTGAGCTAGCTCTATTAGTGGAAATCTACTTCATTGTCACACTTGAAGAAGATAGAATGTACAAAATAATTGCCTCTCGGGCGCAGCCAGTCTTAGTTTTAAATAGAGAAGAGCATGATTAGCCTGAGGCGGCATTCTTTCTTGATCGTGCATCAAGAAAAACATACACCACCCGTTTGCTGCATTAATGAGGTAATGACAGGAGTAATTCATCTGTAACTCGAACCGTTAATAACAGGAAGTGCATGATGACATCCTGAACAGAAATTAAAAATCCCAAAGGGTTACAAACGGTTGTCTTGTTGTTATTGTTTTGGAGGCTGGTAACATTTGGCCTGAGGGCAGCATGGCCCAGACACGTTTTGTGTGCGAGCCTCGCTAAATTAAGAAAAGAAACGGGTATTTTCTTCATCGTATTGCTTTGAAAAGATGTCACGGATTGCTGCAGATTACTGGAGCTGGATACAGAGGATTTAAAGAGACCTCTTTTTGTTTAAAAGGTGTCAGCAGTTCCGCAGCGTCGTGCTGACAAGACAGAGGATCTCGGCATCTCCTCCCTATCAGACGCTTATGTAGGCCAAGAGACCCATTTGCATTTCACTCCAGCCTCGCAAGCATCACTGCATGTTCTGTGAAGGCGATGATAAAAAAATAAAAAAAAACTCTGGGAGAGACTCTTTGAAGCTCTGCCCCAATTTAGGTCATCCCAGAACTGTTAAACAACAGATTTGCCCTGAGAACAAGACCAGCAGCCAAAGCTCATACATTTCGAAAATTAGGGAAAAAGGCCAAACGACATTTCTTTTCCAGCTACGTTCTCAAGCTCATTTTATGGATGTACTTCAAGTCCAGTGCATGAGTCCTCTCTGTGTTTGTACTGTGTCACCCTTATAATTACATTAAGTGCAAAAGGGCATTTTCTTCAGGAAGCACCTGGGGGGCCAGTGTTTTGTAATTGCGATACTCCTCGAAGGGTTCATACGCAGGTTAGTGAATAAAGCTGATTTACTGTGCAGTGTTTGAAAGCTGCAATTCACTCCTAGTATACATTCTCAAATAAAGAGTGTGCATTTTATGAGCAGCAATTTAGATAAGTTAAGATATACTTTATTGATCCCAATTTCACACAAACTAGCTGATGAGTTAGGAAATGTGTTGATTTATAGCTTGAAATATGACAACAGGGCAACACACTCTTCTTATCATGCCCTCACTGCTGTGTGTGTGTGCAGCCGCTTGCATGTCCCTTAAAGTGTGTGTGTGTGTGTTTTATTGTATTTATAAAGCATGCATGAGTTTCCATGTGCACCCATTTCTGATTTGTTTACCCCACTCTGGCTTTTTGGTGCAGTGTGTGTGCATGCTACGATGTGCATAGACTGTGCATTCATACATACAACAGTGTCCATGTGCGAGTGTGTGTGCCCGTGGAAAATCAGGCACTAGATAGTGTAGTCTCTTTCAACAGATGGCCTTTTCAACACACTTGCCTCTAAGCTAGGACTGTTGCCAGCCCCTACACACACACACACACACACACACACACACACACACACACACACACACACACACACACACACACACACACAGTGCCACAGAAATACGATCGCAGCCGTCATGCGTGCAAAGTCTTGCCAGACCGGTTGCATAATGCATCAATTTTGAGACAGCAGGCACTCATGGAGGATTGAAATGTGCCTGAGGAAGAACATTTAGGTGTTTGAGAACGAGTTCTATTATCAGATCTGCCTTTTTAATTAAGCGTTCTGTATATGAAGGTGCATCAACGTCACTAGAACATGACTTTTAGAGCAAGGCAGCAAAAACATGACTGTGTGTTTTTTGTACGTAACCTGAAATCCAAACCTTAGAAATCCATCATGAATAATGTTTTTATACTAACACAGGTTAGGGATCAAGTCCCTGAAGGAGTGACGACTGTTTGTTACATGAAGCACCCACAGGTGTCATACTTCATGGCTGTTTGCACGCCTTGAGTTATTAAATACACAAACTGCAGCGCAGGAGAATCAGGTCATTCCACATTTCGGATAAACGACTACAATTCTCCCTGGGTGTGAACATTTTTATAAAAACGTGAGTGCAATTTTTATAAAATAACTAATTCAGTGTAATTTGCACACTTACAATTCACATTTTTATTGCACGTTTGTATTCAGAATCAGAATACTTTATTTATCCTGTGGTGGGAATGCATTATTGTAACAGTTGCTGCATTTGAGAACAAAAGTACAGCAAAATAAAAATATTTAACAAACATACTAAGTCAAAATGTGCATATTGTGCGCGTTTATTTATTTTTTTAGAAAGAACGGTTATGAGATGTTGCATGTTTCTTTGTCTTGTTTTAGTTTAACTGCTTGTAAAAATAAATGTTTTTTAGTATGGACAGACCATGTCAATAAATACATAATAAAATGTAAAAAAGGGGCACATTTGACCACATAACATATATCAATAAATATGTACAAATGTGTATAATACATCATATATAATGGTGTATTCCTATTCATTATGATATTAACGTAAAAAACAAGATAATTGCTATAAATGTACAGTGTGATAAGGTACAATACAGCTTTATTTATAAAGCACTTTAAAACCTCCAGACCAAAGTGCTGTACAGTCAAATAAACATACCAACAATCACACAGCACAGCTCACACACACCATAAAACAAGTACAAGTAAAAAACAATAGACAATTAAAAGCAACAATCTAAAAGATTTCATATTCCTAGGTGACGTGATGTTTATCCTGTGAGTCCTGGAACAAGTCTGAGCAGGTTCACGTCTCACAGATGGCTGAATACGGGTTTATTCTCAGTGTGTGGAGCCACTCGCTGCCGGTGTTAAAAACACTTCCGCAGCACCGTCCTAACCGGCACTGGCAGTGATTATTGCCTCTTGATTACGGTGCTGCGCTTGCATGGAGCCATGTGCTCACTGTGATTTTCCCTCTCATTAATCTGCCTCGCTCTGTCTCTCCCCCTTCCTCTCCCCCCGGATCAGGAAGCCTCGTCCCGTCTCCCAGCTCGTCTCTCAGCAGCAGGTAACTCAGCAGTTCGTGTTGCCCTCGCAGCCCAAAAAGGAAAAGAAGGAGAAGGTAGAGAAGGAGAAGAGCGACAGAGAGCCGGCGCTCAAGAAGAACAGTCACAAGAAGATGAGGTAAACAAACTGATATATCAGGGACGCATGAATAAACAGGAGAAACTGTGGATGGTGTTTACTCTGCCACCTGACGTGAGGTTGTCATATTTCATGAAGGGCTTCAAAAGATAAACCTGATGAGGGTGGGAAACACCAGGTAAAAAAATCATATTAGTGTCTCGGAGATGCTCTTTGAAAAAAAGATCAAGGTGCTTTCACTCATGGCTGAATCAAAGAGGAATACGTCTATAAACAAGTATTTTGATTTGACTCATTATAAAGTAAGTGGCTAAGGAAATGGCTCGAGACTTGCGAAAAATATTGCAGCATTCAAGATTTTATCTGAGTGTACATTTGCATATTTGTCACATCATTGCACATTATTTTTCATAAAGCTTGGTGCTTGTGTTGGTTACAATAAAGGACAGACTGCCTTCTATTCATCTATAAGTTGTCTGTCACTAATACAAGACCATTTTTAAAAGAAATAGATTAGAAAATACTGTCACAGCTTGGTTTTTATCTCGCTCTCATGTCCATTTCCCCATCCTCACCAGGCCGAGGTTAAAAAACATCGACCGGAGCAGCGCCCAGCACCTGGAGGTGACGGTCGGCGACCTGACGGTCATCATCACGGACTTTAAGGAGAAGGTCAAGCCCACGTCCACCGTGGCCCCCCCGTCCAGCACCGTGGCCGCCGCCGACCCCCACAGCCAGAACGGCTCCAGCTCAGAGACCACAGAGAAGGGGCTTTCCCGCTCCTCCTCACCCAGAGGGGAGGGCAGCTCGGTCAACGGAGAGTCCCACTGAGCCCCCCCCCCCTCCCTCCAAACCTCCCCCTCCACACCCATCTCATCTGCAGGCAAGGTGGAGAGCTGCACATCACCTTCTTTTGGATATATAGGAACTGTGACCAAAACACATCGCATTTAGAACGTTTAAATGATTCTTTAGAAAGCAATATGGAAGACCTTTGCTCTGTCTTGGACGTTTTTAGACATTTTCTCCCGGACATTTGTTGTAATGGAGACGATCCTGCACGCTGTCTGCTAGAATACTTACTAAGACAGTTTTATTCTGACGAAGAACTCCCTCAGAACTGACCTGAGATGTGTCTGAATAATTTGGACGAGCTTTAAGGACCCTGTGCGGTTTTCCTTCAGATACTCCTGCCCTTTTATTTTTCGAAATGTGCAGCCCACCCTTACCTTCAGTGGCCGGCAGAGTGACCTATCCTTCCCCCATGTGGAACGTTGCGCCTCTGTCTGGAATCCTTCGCGTTATAAACCCTGAATTTCGCACTCGGTGTCCCGACGCTGAACCTTCAACCTCACTGCAAACCCTCGCTCCTGCTCGCCATTACTCCCAGCCTTTACTCGTGGACTGCCTCTGCTGCGGAGGGACTTTTTTGACGCAGCATTGCCGGGCACCATTTGGTGCTTTTGGGTAATGTTCGGAGCGGGATGTTTAGTTCAGGTAATGCTTGTTATGACTGTATAAGGGCGTCAGGCAGGTTTTGATAAAAGCCCTGTTTTATATGGTGCGGGTAAAGGTGCAGAATATGATTGTAAAGGATAATACCGGTAGTCTACACTGCCCCTTACGTCACATGTGCTAGAAATACTATCAGGGTTTTGTTATTCTACGTTCGCAGCCATTAATTGTGCAGAATATAAACAACAACCGCAGACCTGCATTAAGTGATTTTCTTTTTTGTACAGAATTAGCATTTCTCTAGCTAGTCTCATTGTTTTGATGTCCTCATAGACCAACCACAGACTATCCATGGGCAGCAATGGATAGTCTATTGACAAGCTGTTGTTAAACTACCTGGTAAACATGAAATCCCAGAAGATTGAAGTTTACTACTAGCTAACTCGCTACGATAGAGGTGCAGATCAACCCTGGGCTAAAAATGGGCTAAATATTAGGGTTGTAAGTCAAAAAATGTCATTACACTTGAGTGTCGTCAAAAACACTATTGATCTTAATTTAATATTTTACATGCAGCCAGTGTGGCTCAGATTGCACTGGTAGAAGTGCTCTCATGTATGGTGATGCAGGGACTGTGATAAATGCAAATCCCGCTGTTTTGATTGCATTAAAAAAACTACAAATGTTCTTTTTACTTTTTGTTTGTTGCTCATAGAGTTGTGTTTTTAATAGCACGACAGTATTTAATTGTTACACCTGTATCACGATACGGATTGTATCACCAGATTCTTGTCAAGCGCTCAGAGATATTGGGCTAATAATGACCAATCACACTAGAAATGCTAATCCAATAGGATTTTGAAGGTAATACAATGCTAACATATTAGCCATAACAGCTACAATCTGTCTCTCAGGGGTGGGTTTCTTTGCAGAGTCATGCTAATGAAAAAAAATCACTTAATGCAGCTTTGTTGTTAATAACAGTCTTGAAACTTTGTCCATACTTCGTCCAGACAGGATTAAAAAAAAAAAAAAAAAAAAAAAAAGGTGTTTTGTCAATCACATGACCTCTACAGAATGAGATATATCTACGCAAATACAGGAACAGTTCTTCATACTGATGTTTCTCGAAAAAATAAGCAAATTTCAAGTCAGGTTTACCATGGAAATGTTTGTTTTAAGAGATGGAAAGAAAGTGGTTATTTGTCAACTACATGTAGTGTTTAGTTAAGGGACTGTGGCTGTAAAAGACTCCGGTATACTCCTTTTAAATCTCCGCTGCACCTGCTCAGCGCCACAGTGGACGACCAGAGGGGGCTCATGCTGTTTGGCCCCCACCGTGGACCCAGTTCGGACAAAGCGTGGTGCTTCTACAACGAAAAATGGGGCTTTGACTTCTGGACACGCACAATTAATGTGACGGCCTGCGGTGTGACGGACTTAAGAAAACCGCTTCTTCCATTTTGACGTAGCAAAGTGGGGGAGCTTTAGAAATATACTAAACCCCCAGCAGAACAACTATAGATCAACACGATAACTTATGAAACCTGTAGAGATACATTTCTAAAAAAAATATTGTACTACAATGTTTTGATGTGGTTGTATTATCCATCATAGCAGTGTTACTGTCCAGATTTTTACTTTTAACATGTTTAGCACAGATCCTGAGAACTGTCATGGCATGATAATATTACGGTCTCGGTATATTGTGGGACAGGCTTTGTCTCTTAGTTTGTTTAGCATCGTTTCGTGTGTGGCAGATCTCAGGGGTTCACCACTAGCTGGGACTAGCTGTGTGGACCTGTGAGAACTGTCCCGACTCACATCTGTTATTCGTTTGTGGCAAAATTTGAAAGACACTTAAAATATATGTTGGTTGTCACCTGTTGATATTTTATTTGTTGTCTTGCTTTGCCATGTTCAATTGTTTTAAAAATGTGTGAACTTGTTTATTACATGTCTGAGTAAGAAAATGTAAACAAATGATATCATTTAACTTTGTCGTTTCACTTTGCCTAAAACTTTAATGAGGCCCTATCATGCTTCTTAGGGTTTTCCCCTTTCCTGTAGAGTGTTATATAAGTTTCTGTGCATGTCAATGGTCGGCAAAGGCTAAAATCCTAAAGTTTCTCTCCCACACACTGCACACAATGAAGAACAATATCCCGGCCAACAAATCAGATTCTACACACATATTTTTCTTGCACATTTTTAATCCTCCTTAAAAGATCTAATTATGGTCATTTTTTTATGTATTTTTCAATGTTATTGGATAATGATGTCATTTATCAATACCCCCAATATTGTGTAGCCTACATATCGCAGTTGCAAACCAGTCAAACTAATTGCATTTATTGTTTTTTCCAAATCGTATAGCCCTGATTATATAGGCTTACAGTAGTTCTGAGTATATGGTATGGTTTACAAACTAATTAATCAACCACTACAGTCAATTACCTTGATTTTCCCACACTTGATGGAAATGTAGTTTAGGTCTTGTGGAACCACAACAATAAAGACTAGTCACTTAAAGCCTGAAAGGCTCTTTTCAGAGGTGAAATGAATTGAGAGTTGCTGCAGAGTAGACACAGCTGAGGGGGGAGGGAGAGGGGAGAACCAACTTTGCTTATCGCTCCCACCCTTCCCCCCATTTAGGGTCTCGACCTCCGGCTTCTGTTGCATGAAGAAGCATCAAGTGAAGATGGTGGAAAAGAGAAACCAGGATGAATTGCATGGCCTTCAAAATAAAAGCCTGAAAATTGTGATGAGGGACAACGACTGCAGAGAGCTGCACAACCTCATAAGCAATTTAGACTAGTCACTAGCCTATATTACGAAATGTTCAAATTGTTTTACAATATACAAATAAGATTGCACACATATCATTTGTATTATGTTGTATTTCCGAGCCTCCTGGCTTTTAGGAGTAAGTTTGTCAAATGTGATGCATTTGTAGGAACTAATTATCTGAGCTATGATCTATTATACATTTCAGGCGTAGCATGCACTTGTGTATTATATAATATAGTTAGCATATCTGTCATATTAGACATGACATTAATGTATTTCTGACTCAGTATAAAGCTACTGCATCATTTGTTTAACAGCTTGAACAGTGGGAGAAATGTTGAAAAACGCTGCAGATTTTTAACATGACCACCAGGGAACAGTGTTTCAACGGCTGATGAGAGCTTTATTTTTTAAACGTCAACCGGAAGTGTGTTGTCACTGCGTCTAGCTTCGCAGTTATTATTTCACACTAGTTAGTTCTGTGTCATGACTTTAGCTCCGAGTTGCGTTTTAAAACTCCAAAATGCGGCGCTACATTCGTGCACTAATGCTGTGCACAGTGTTTGCCGTGTTTTCGGGTGTGTATGTTTACAGTAAACTGTTTTACTCGGACTTGTCGCTCGGTGGAAACGGACCGAGAGGTTTCATCCCACAGAGAGTCCCCGGAATCAGGCGAGGAGCCGTGGACAAAACCGGGCCCCAAAGCCCACACTGGTACAATAGGTAGGACTAAATTATGCAGGTTTTTCTTACTTTAATGGGGTACAACTTGGGGAAAAATGCATTTCATACAATAAGTATGAGTAAAGTTGTAGGTATCTACTCTGTACCACACTTGTTATGTATAGGAATGTGACACTGACTGACAAAACGGCCCCAAACTTCATTACAGATTTCTGTGATTACTGTAGTAACGCGAGATTTGAACAGGTGTGTGATCTTCGAGATTAATTAATACATCAGATACATAGTAGAGCATGACCAAACTTGCCTTACAATTTAGCATCTTTTCACTGTTCAAATGCACTTTTTAGCCTGTGAAACTAGCTTTACTGCATTATGGCTTTCACACATGACTGTTTGTGTGTCTGCCAGATATGCAGGTTAGAGAGGAGACGTTAAGATAAATAGGGGGAGAAGGCGAAGCTAATAAAGTTCACTGTTAGCAAGTTTGGGTCCAGTGAGTCATAGGTAAATCCATGGGATAAAGCCTACTACTGTTTAATAATCATGTAATAGATTCTGCATTAGTGGTTTGGTCTGTGAAAAGACCAGACAATATATCACAAATAAGTGATATCTTCAAATTGCTTGTTTAGTCTGACCAAAAGTCCCAAAACATAGAGTTTACTATGACAAATACAAACATAAGAGCACATTTGAGAAGCTGGAATCAGAGAGTAATTGCTGTTTTGGTGAAAAAAGGTACATCATTTTATCACATACTCTATATCCACAGCTAAATGTGGGGGTGGCATAGAGAATTAGCTAAAATGGCATAATGACGTTAAACCATTCTCTGGTGGCTTGACATTGATATCAGGTGATGTTTTTAAAAATCCAAAAGTAGAGCTTGAGTATGTCAATATTTTTTTTTTTTAGCACTCAATTTATTTGGACCTCAATGTCAAGGGTCAAATAACTGATCCTAAATCCTACGTCACCTTGCTACCAGAGTACTAGTATTTATATTTTATACATCTGTATTTGTTCTCTTTTATTTGTTAGTGTGATAGGCATTATTACATGTATTTAATGTTTGTTGTTTGTTTTGTGTGTACCTCCCCAGAGCTATAATCTGGAATATTGCATCTCGTGTCTTTTTGAGATTCATGTGTTTTTATACATGGTCTTGTTCAACAAAGATATATAATAATACTGGCAATATTTGTAAACCTACTATTATACCCAGGTCTCTAGAATTCACTTTTTATACCATCTGTTATCCTCTCCATCCTCTCTCTCAGGTACATCATGCGTCAGCGGGGTCAGGTGGAGGCAGGGGGGGGCAGCGTCCAGCCTGAAGCCCCCATGCACCTGGCTGTGGTGGCCTGTGGGGAGAGGCTGGAGGAGACCCTCACCATGATCAAGTCCGCTGTGCTCTTCAGCATCAAACACCTCCAGCTGCACATCTTCGCTGAGGATCAGCTGCACACCAGTTTCATGGAAGCTGTGAGTTCAAACGTAAAGCTTTATTATTATTATAAAACAAAATGAATAGTGCAAGAAGAAACAGAGTAGGAATTAAATAGTGCAAGAGAGAAAATGTTGCAAGACAAATAGCATAAGATGACCTAGCAAAATGTAAAATGAAATGCTTTACAGTGAAATAAAATACTGCTTATCGTACTAATAGATAAATATGTGAGATGCAAACAGATGGTGTGCAAATCTTAAGAAAATTAAAGTCTGAAAATTGCATGCCGTTGTTTAAAGAGTTTGTACTAACCCTATATGTCGTCTGTTTTCCAGCTGGGGTCATGGCCAGGTTTCATTCGCTCCAGGTTCAACTACACAGTGTACTCCATCAGCTTCCCCAGTGAGAACGCAGCCGAGTGGAAGAAGCTCTTCAAACCCTGCGCTTCCCAGAGGCTCTTCTTACCTGTGAGTTTCTGATAAAAAGCATGAAAACCACAGTGGAAATCTGACGCCATTATGACATTCCCAATATTTTCTTATAACAACACATTACACATTAAAGATCTGAAAAACTTGGAGCACTATGAATAGAAAAATGTGTTTAAATCCTCAAATAAAATTGGGATTGACAGCTATACTAGCCTATGCTATAGCTCCTATAACAAAGACATTTCACATTTTTCTCAGCTATAGTCCTACACATTCTTAGATATAATAAAACTGAATCAAATCTATTAATCAACAAACCAAAACACATGTAAATTGTCACAATTCAATATACTCTGGTCAATAAGCACCACTGCAGACTGTATTCACATAATTAGTCTCCTCAGTGACATCCCTCTGTGTGTCTGTTCCAATCTGTGCAGCTGATCCTAAAGGACATAGACTCCGTGGTGTACGTGGACTCGGACATCCTCTTCCTGCAGCCCGTAGACCGCCTTTGGGCCTTCCTGACCCGCTTTAACTCCTCCCAGCTGGCTGCCATGGCCCCTGAGCACGAGGAGCCCCGCATCGCCTGGTACAACCGCTTCGCCCGCCACCCCTACTACGGCAAGACGGGCATCAACTCAGGGGTCATGCTCATGAACATGACCAGGATGAGGAGCATGTTCTTCAAGGTGGGGCTCAAGGCACATTTTCAGTAAGAGATTTGTTCCTGTGCTTCTTTGTTTGGCCACTAGATGTCCTTCTCCTCCTGTGAAACCATTTAATGTGAGGCCTTCACTTACCATGGCATTATGATCACACAGTAAAGAACACATTTGAATTGATGTGCAGCGAGGCGGCTGGAACTGCGGCAACAAAAACTTCATTTATAATGAACGACAGCACTGATCAATGTTTACTGTAACTGTCCAAGTCTGTTCATAGTTTATTTTCAAGTCCTTCAACAATGCCAGAGCAGCACACACCATGTTCCTGTTAGTGTTTACTTCCTCTCTGCCTTCTTCTGTTGATTTCTCTGACGTCCAGCGCTCTGTCTTTTAACCTCTTTCCCACTCTACCTTGATCCTCCTTAGCAGCGGTTTGTCATCGAGTATTCATAACCTCTGAAACGTCCAAATTGACCAGAATCAAGTATTCAACTAAGCTGTGTAATAAATTGTGTTTACAGAATGACATGACGTCTGTGGGGCTGCGCTGGGAGGAGCTGCTGATGCCTCTACTCCAGAAATACAAACTCAACATTACCTGGGGGGACCAGGACCTTCTCAATATCATTTTCCACCACAACCCTGGTAAGGCTGCACACCAAGCATGTGTATTATTATTATACACAACTCTACATGTTCATACATCATCATATTTAGCCCTAAAGACAATTTGACGGATTTTGAAACTTGCACTGATTTGTTGGCTAAAGTGTTTGTGTGTTTGTGTGTTTGTTTGTGTCTGTTCACAGAGTGTTTGCTGGAGTTTCCCTGCATGTGGAATTACCGCCCAGATCACTGTATCTATGGCAGTAACTGTGCGTCAGCTGAAGAGGATGGTATCAACATACTGCACGGAAACAGAGGGGTGTACCACGACCACAAGCAACCTGCCTTCAGGGCCGTTTACGAAGCCATACGAAAGGTGGGCATGAACGAGAAAAAATACTTTAAAACAGCTGATCGAGGTTTATCAGCTTGAATGGTATTTATGTTTACCCTCAGATTATTTGGTTTTCCATTCATCTTATAATAATGTTTTTTCATCGTGACTGGGGTTAAAACAGCTAGCTAATTTTTGTTTCTGGTTACCTCCCTACTAGCTTGCGTTGCTTCCCAAAGCTGTCATCTGATTGGTTGTGCATTAAAAGGTTGTCAGCAAGGTTACAATTTAAATAATTGAAACCGGAGCGCAGCACGTTGGGCGGCACCGCTCTCTCCATAGAAACCTTATTTTCAGTGGTGAAAACACCAGGGACACGTGCCAGAAGTTGAGTTTTCATTCGAACTAAGTTATGGCTGGTGTGTAACTGCATGACCAAATTCATCAGAGTACAAAGTCCAAGTTGCTCCAAAGTTGCCATGGTGTATTTTAGTGCAACATTTGATGAAAGGAGCTGTTTTCCGACCTCAGTGACCCCTGCTCTGCTCCACTGCCCCGTTCCTTCACCCTGCTAGATGAGATTTTGGATTGGTGCTGACCCGAGACACCATAAGCGTTAGTGACTTTGGACTGTCTGCGCTGGAAAGCTAATTTCCCCCAGGGGGATGTTTATGGGTTGTTTACCAGCAGTGTAATGATATTGACGACACCGGTGGCATTTACTTAATGAAGCCATCAACGGTGGAAGTGTCATTGCTTTCCTATTAACAAAGCATTGACTGTACATCACAGAGATGGCTGATCCATACCTTATCCATGGCCTGCAGTTAAACCTGTGGCTTTATAGGAGAGGATCAATTAGAGCAGGACACACACATGTACCTGTGCTGCACTAAAACACTGGTTCTCCCATCTGTATTGACACTTTCATAGATATGTGATTAAGTCTGTTTTTGCCAGGAGTCTGGATTGATCTTCTGTGTGTTTCAGTTCACTGGACAGATCATCTCATCCACTTCTTGTTCATCTGCAGCAGATCCTCAGGCTATCTGTGAAGTGTTGGGAGGGAATAACAACAGACAGGACAGTACTACATTGGCAGCTAAAAAAAAGCATGAGAGCAAAAGAACGTGTGATAGTGACAGCAAGTCATTCATGAATTTATTTTCCGTTCCTTTTCATGTTTATTAAAGTTGACGTCCTATCTGAGTTAAAACGCTACAAGCTAGCTTTCTGTTCACCAAAATCACAAAACCAGCCACTTGGAATATTAGTAAAAGTGTCCGACACATCACTTCAAATCATATATATGAAACTTAAAGGTATAGTCATGCCCCCACAATATAAAACTGATGAATGTCATAGATGTTGTGTAAACTGATGAATTTTGTTTGTCCATTTGTCCAAAACCTGAACACATTCTTGTTACAATAATGCAAATTGGAGAAAAAAAACGCAAATAGAAAAACGTAAAAGGCGGGGACAAGCCGACTTATGGCATATTTGCCTAAAATATGTTTAATTATTACGTTTTTATCAGAAAAGTTGTTTATGTTTAGCACTTTCCCCCTATAAGGTCATTATTCCACCTCTTAAGTTGAGTTGTTTATATATTAGCTGAGACAAGTCCTAAATCAGTGTCCATTCTCTTGTTTCTTCAAACAAAGAGATGGGGATATAAGCAGCTCCTCCCTGTCTGTCTGCCTGTCTGTCTCACACAGACCTCAGCGGGCCGTCCCTCATAAACCCTCCTCCCTTCCCTCGATGGAAAAAAGCTGAGCCCAGGAAACCGCAGTTAATTTTTACAGCCGATGGTGCGTTTAGAGTCTGAGGCTGCACACCGACAGCGCCCCATCAGCCGCACAAAATCAATACAGCAACTGTAAATGCAACTTTATGACCAGCCCGTGTGTGTGTGTGTGTGTGTGTGTGTGTGTGTGTGTGCGAAAGTATCTGCTCATAAAAACACAATTTTCTTTGTGACCCAATATCAGAGAGCTAACCACAAGCAAATGAGCCGGCATAAAGAATGGTAATTCCCCTTTGATTTCCTCGGAGCGCTGTAAAGGCTCCTTCATTATCGAGAAGACGTGAACCCCCTCCTGTAATCCCCGGGTATCACTGGACGCTAAGCCTATAGCATAAAAAGTGACTCCAACAGTCGGACGCTTTATGTTCCCCCCCGGTCTGAGCGATCAGTTTAATCTGGAATCTACTATGAGATCAGCATGGCTTGCAGATTTGTAATCTATCCACGGACAAGCACAAATGCTGCCCAAAGCAACTCTGATCAATTCCTGGAGAACAAGAGGAGGTTGAGAGAAGTCCTCAGGGGAGAAAGGATGAGGAATCTTAATTGGAAAAGTCTCCTTACCATTTTAGGATGAGAGCTACTTTCAAAAAATCAAACAAGTCGTGAGCTACTTTTACTCAATTTTTGTTGTGTTTTTGCAGTGTATATATTTAGCACATTTTAACATTATTATATGCTGACCTTTAACCTTTGTGTGCTGTTTGGGTCTGTGGGACCCGTTTTCAGTGTTTACTAAAATAACATGTATGCAATTTAATTATTTTAACCTGCTTTATTTGGGGGTGGACCTCTCCTCCTCTAGGGGGGTCCGGGGGCATGCTCCCCCGGGAAGATGTTTTTTTAAATGTTGAAGTGAAATGCATCAATCTGGTGCACTTTGAGCACAACATGAATGTATGGATACAGCTCTCAACACTCAGATGAAAGGGAGCTGTATACTTTTCAATTATCCAAACATCTTTAGAATATGATCACCACCAATAACAAATCATTTAAACTGGTTTATTCTTATCTTATGTTACCTAGTTAGCATTCTTTCTTTTTATTTATGCATATTTTACTAATCACTCCCCTTTTAAACTGTTTTTTTTACTGTCCTATATAGTACACATTGGAATGATTTCTTACTTTATCTATATTAAATAGATAAAGGTTCTCTCTCTCTCTCTCTCTCTCTCTCTCTCTCGCACGCTCGCTCGCTCACAGAGGCTGTGTGCTCCTCCGTGGCGATGACGGCTTGCGTTAACAAATAATAATAAACATATTTGTAAAGTGGGGGGACACAAACGGGATTTCGAAAATTGGGGGGGACATGTCCCCCCTGTCCCCAGTGGAAATTATGCCATGCGTGTGTGTGCGTCAACTGCAATAAATATATATGCGAGTAAAACTATGCCCCTCATGTGCAGTATAGGCTGGCATGACTAGGCTGTTCAATGGGGCTGATGTGTTGTGTAGAATCTGCCAGAAGGAAAATCAGCGGGGAGGTGCCACATTGCTTTTCTTCCCGACTGCAACGCTGGTCCCGCAAATCAAGCAAGAACGTGATTGGTCGATATTCATTGTGGGGGGTGGGGGGAGGAGGGGTGTTAGATAGATATAGAGTTGTAGTAAGTAGATAGAGTTCCCTATGATTTAGGTTTCGTTTATGCAAAGGGTCGATTCTTTTAATTACATTTCCTTTTTTGTTTTGTGTATTTTATACATTTTGGATTTGCTTGGCGAGCTATTTTTAGAACATGCCCAGCGGGCGACTCATGTTGCCCCAGCGGGCGACTCACGTTGCCCCAGCGGGCGACTCACGTTGCCCCAGCGGGCGACTCATGTTGCCCCTGCGGGCGACTAAGTGCCCGCGGGCACCGTGTTGGCTACCCCTGGTCTAGACTAATAAAGAGTGCTTTGGTAAATTATGCTTAGATCAATGTAAAAACTACACATCACACCAAATCTAAGTTAGGGCTGCACGATTTGGGGAAATCATCTAATTGCGATTGTTCTGACAGATATTGCGATTCGATTAGCGATATTTTTTTTAAGCGACCCAACAGAAGTTTATTGTAAAATGCGGCCATATCTCCGGCTAGGAAGGTCGTATCAACGTGCTCCCGTCTCTAGCACCCCCGCAGCCCGGGCTACGAGTGAAAGAACTAAACTTACATGAAACTTCCGTTGGGTTGCTTTAAAGTCAAGCTTCAGTTTAAGATTCACCCTGTAATAGATGTTAAACATGTGATGGAGCATTACTAACCTGACTCAGATGCTTTGTTTCACCAAACCATCCAGGAAAGCTCCATTGGAAGCCATTTGGAAAGGGCAGGCACTTTCAAAAATACTTGGCAGGTGATTGGATCAATCTGTCTATCACCTACTATCATGGGCCACTTCTGATTGGTTAACAATGGCTGGTACATGTGGAGCACAGCACTTCTGATTGCTGTGGATGACTGACACACAAGAACAAAAAAAAAAAATGTAAAAAGAAATCCAATTATCAAATCGCAGGCTTTGCGATTTGATAATCGCGATTTCGATTTAAAATCGATTAATCGTTCAGCCCTAATCTAAATCACAAATCACTTTCTCGTTGCAGTACCCTTTCGGCGCCGACCCAGTGACTTCTTTGTTGGATCCGTTGGAAGAGCAGCTGTTGACGACGACACACACTTACTGCGGTAAATCCCACCCGCTCCTCACCAAGAGACTGGCACACAGCCTGGCCAACATCAACAGGAAGTCCTCCGCTGGACGGTGACAGCTCAATCACAAGGGTGGGATAAAAGAAGAAACGTTGCCTATGGACGTACAAACTTGTCCTTGAGCAAGAAACCGGACGCTCAACCCTGCTTTGAGTCGTTTTTGGACTGATGTACAAACAATGCAACAACCACTACAGCTCTGTACCTGGCTAAATGTTCAATAAGGGCTCCCCGTGTCCACACCTTTTTCTGAGCACTCCCAACTTTTTAATATTTCTTATGGCAAAGATCTCTCCACAAGTATCTTTGCTGTTATAAGACGGACAATAACTGCTACTATCTATTTGAGCACCAACCAGTAGATTCCTGCTCTCAGTCAAACTTTGTCTGAATGAGCTTCACCGCTCAGTCTGATGGACATTTAACGAGGGAAGAGGGCAATAAAAGTCTCATCGACGGCAACATGCAGGGTCCACCTGGCCGATCTGCTCCAGCAACTGGCATTTTGCTACTTGTTGTGATAGTTTGCATCTGACAGAGACATCCAACATCAAGCTTTTCCTCCAAATTCTACAGTGACGTTCCGGCGTAGTGTGAAAAGTTGAAAAATGTTCAACTTTTTAAAAAAGTCGCTATGTGGACAAGGGGCCATAACAATGAACCTGAGTTGTTCAAAGATACATGGACTACATCGTGGACAACTAATGAGTGGAGCTTATTTTGTGATCAGCTGCTCCATGTTGGGATTGTCTCAAAGTGAGACTTATACTACTCGCCTCGTTGTAAATTGCTCTGGATTAGAGCGTGATGTAAAGTCTACTTTAAAGGTGGGGTAGGTGATTTTGGAGAAACCAGCTCGAGTGTGCTAGAATTTGAAAATACACAACCGGAAAAAATCTGCCACTTCCTTACAGAGCCCCTCCTCCAACACACACGAGCGTGCACGTGACCAATGAGGGCACGAGATAAGTTTGTGCACAGATGGAAGGCTGACAGGCAGGTAGGCCATCCAGTTATTTTAGCCGGGCCGGCTAAAATGATTGGTCGTGCTTTTTACAGTACTACGGCTTCCACAGATGACATTTTTTAATGGATTTTTTGTCAAAGCATTTCCGATATTCATTGCTATCGGGATGTTAAGAGCATTCCATGGAATATAACAAAAAGTGTATCTCGAGCCGGTTTCTCAAACTTACCTACCCCACCTTTAATGTTGCAAAGTTCACATATTTACTACTGATGGACAGTAAAGCATTTAGTGTCTTCCCTGTAACTCCTCTCAGTGCCTTTGGTTGCTGGTGGATAATCTTGCAAAAGATCTGAAGAGTAGCTCTTGACTTTCCATATTGGAGAATTTATTGAACCCTGTAAAACACTCTTAATAAAAAAGAGACAAACGAATAATGTCAGAACTGGAAAAGGCTTTCAGCGGCGCCCGTTTTAAAAGATGTATGCACTGGAACACTTTTTCAACCTTCACAAACCACTCCAGTTTCAACGAGATGGAAGAGAAGTCGTTCCAGAGGACATGCATGGAATAATAAGAAGAACTATTTCTGAGTTTGTAATGGGATTTATAGAAATGGAATATATATGATGTTCTACAGCATATGGATCCTCTATCAGAGTAAATGTACAATCTGTTACTCAGGTTATTTTGACCTGATAAGTTAAATGTGGTGATTTAACAGTCAAAGGTCATTGTTATGTTAAGAAACATCAGTATCCACTTTAGGGATGTGAGGTCATGTGACTACACATTTTATATTGTCATTTGTGTTACTTCGAACACCCATGTTTCTTTCTTTTATTTAACAAAAGGATATGTTACAGTATGTCAATTAAGACACGATTAAATGTTAATCTCATACTAGTTAGTTTATGATATACCGTACAGCCAGCAGACAGAAAATGCATACAAAGTGAAATAAGCTACACGTTCCTCTCCTGATGCCAAAGCATTTATTTTATTACTAGAATTATGGGTTTTGCACTGTTGAATGTATTAAGAACACAAAGGGTTGAAATCAAAATGTTATTATCAGTGATTATGGTTGTAATGTGAACATGTTATTTGTTATATATGTGTTTTGTTTATGTTTAGTTTTTTCACATTAAAGACTATTTGAATTTGATTTGAACAGCACTTTGTTTTCTAACCACCAGAGGGCAGCATTATATTTTTTTATATCCCCTAATGCTGAGGGATAACATATATTCTTGATGTACTTTAAGAATAACCATATTTGTTGTGAATGAATAATTTGTGATAAATAAGCTATTAAAAGGGGAAAGTAACTTAGAAAACAAAAAACAAGCTAGTTTAATTAAAGGTGTTGTTATATTCACTTAAAGTGGACCTATCATGCAAAATGCACTTTTGTACGTCTTTTATACATGAATATGTGTCCCCGGTGTTCCAGGGAACTCACCAAGTGTCAGAAAACACAACCCTCTCTATTTTCCTCCATACCCAAATCTCTAGAAAAGGGGCTGCAACGGATCTGATAAAAACTGATCTAGATTTGAACACTGTCCTGACGTCAGGACGGTGGCGCTACGGCTATTGGGCCAACTCCACCAATCAGGAGGAGACAGCCACGGCCATTGCCGTTCGAAAGCGCTGGAGACGCTGTAGTACATATGCCAGGCCAGTAGATGGTGCTGTTCTCACTGAATCTGCCCAGAGCTAGAAATGGTCAAATTGAGCAAAATGAGGCATGGCTAAAATGCATGATCTGTTTGGTATTTTGAAAAAAAAAAAGTATAAATATGCCTTATATAGGTATGGTCCTACACTATATTATTCAAATATAGCATGATAGGTCCACTTTAAATATATATATAAATTCAAGACGTAGTTGCACACTCAAACAGACTTAATCTCATCAGGGTTTGGGA